GAATAATAAGAAAAATATAATTATATGAGAAATTCAGTGAGAAAGAGAAGGATGGAGGCCATAATAGAAAGAAAACTATCGGCATTAATTTTCATTATTCCTGGAGCTTGAGTAACCTTGTAGACCAATCAAAAGCCAGGAAAAATAAAAGTAAGAGACAACGATATAAAAAATAATATAAGTGAAAAAGAGAGAGATAAAGTGAGATAAAAAAAATGTGATTCTATTTTTTGAATATTCCCTGCGCTTGAGTGACTCAATAATGAGCTTCAAATGGAAGAGTGAATGACATAGAAAACACAATAAGTTAGAAAGAAACGGATATGAAGTAAGAGAGGGAAATTTGAAGACAGAACCAACAAAAATAGCTATGAGAAATTTAATGCGTTAAAAAGAGACTGATAAGATACAAAAATGACACAAATTTGAGTGACCTTGCAATTTTTGTGTCTGACCAATCAAAAGCCTGAAATGATAAGAGAAAAATAATGTTATAAGAAATTCAATGGAAAAGAGGAAGATGGAGATATAATAAAATAAAAATCTATTGATATTTTCATTATTCCTGGCGCTTGAGTGACCTTATAATTTTTATGTCTAACCAATCAAGCGCCTGGATTAATAAAGTAAGAGACAGCGATATAGAAAATTGAATAAGTGTGAAAGAGACAGAGATAAAGTGGGATTAAAAAAAAAAATTGTGACACTAATTTTTAGGTATTCGCTGCGCTGGAGTGACTCAATAATGAGTTTCAAATAAAAGAGTGAGAGATAATATAGAAAACACAATGAATTAGAAAGAAATGGATATAAAGTAGGAGATGGAAATTTGAACACAAAGCCAACAAAAATAGCTGTAGGAAATTTAATGATTTGGAAAAAGATGAGTATATGAAGTAAAATATATGATTATTCTCGGCGCTTGAGTGGCCTTGTAACTTTTGTGTCTGACCAATCAAAAGCCTGGAATAGAGGACACTGGAGAGATGACATAGAAAACACAATAAGTTAGAAAGAAACGGATATAAAGTAGGAGATCGAAATTTGAACTCAAAACCAACAAAAATAGCTATAGAAAATTTAATGAGTTAAAAGGAGATGGATGAGATAAAAAATATGTGACACAAATTTTGAATATTCTCGGCGCTTGAGTGGCCTTGTAATTTTTGTGTCTGATCAAAGCTGACACAAGTTACTCAAGTACACTTGGCCAAACATAAAAAAAAGTGTGTCAGGCTTACCAACCTAAAAAACTTGAATCAGACAGTTTTTGTCAACGTCAAAGCTGAAAAAAGTAAACACAACATGTTTTTATGGTATGATTGGTTTAAATATGACACTGACTTGACTCTTTTTGTCATTGTTGAAGTGATAAAAAAGGTCGATTCACACAATACAACACAATAGGATAATGCGTACCAGTTTTATGTTTGGCCAAGTGTACAGGGTTATTGGTTATAATAAATGTCACCCCTCTCTATCTTTTTTATTTGATATTTTAGAAAAAAGTGTCCCAAATAAAAAATTTATGGTTGAAATTAAATTTTTTGAAAAACTCACTTTTGCATATACAGGGTGTTTCAAAAAAGCTGGTCGAGCTCCAACTTTCTTATTTTAAATTGAATACCCTGTATATTATTCAATATTCGGATTTTTCGTCAAATTCTGAGCAGATTTCATGTGATGTACCCTATACCTAAGTTCAACTTTTTTGGCAATATTGACAGTTGAAAATTGACTTTTTTGCAACTTTGACAGGCTGTAAATCCTAGAAGGTTAATTTTAGAGCAAAACCGATCTTACATTTTTATCTTAGATTTTTATAAACTATCAGTTGACATCAATATTTGACATCAACTTTGAATTTAATGTCTGGATTGAAAATTCCAATTAAATTTAATCTTCGGTTAAATTCAAAGTTGGTGTCAAATGATAACTTGTGAAAATCTTAGAAAAAAATGTAAGATCGGTTTTGCTCAAAAGTTAACCGTTTAGGTTTTACAGCCTGTCATATATGCAAAAAAGTCAATCTTCAACTGTCAATATTTCCCAAACAGTTGAACTTAGGTATAGGGTATATTACATGAAACCTGTTCAGAATTTCACGTAGAATCCGAATATGGAATAATATACAGAGTATTCAATTTAAAATAAGAAAGTTGGAGCACGACCAGCTTTTTTGAAACACCCTGTATATGCAAAAGTAATTTTTTTCAAAAAATTTAATTTCAACCATACATTTTTTATTAGGGACACTTTTTTCTAAAATATCAAATAAAAAAGATAGAGGGGGGTGACATTTATAACCAATAACCCTGTACATTACTAAAGTACTTGGAGTACAAGTTCAAAGTACTCAACATTTTGTAGAAGTAATTGAAGTACAAAGTACAGTCGTGAGCACAAAAAGTGGGACACCCGTTTTTTCCTATTGTAAAACGTGTTCACTAGCTATACTTACGGCAATGACAGGGATTGTCATATTTGACAGAAAATCTATTGTAGAAAAAATACTGATTTACCCAAAATAGCAAAAATTGACAAGACCTGTCAGTCGGGTGTCCCACTTTTTGTTCTCACGACTGTAAATTTTTTTTCTTAAATGTACTCCAATTATCAAGTACTTAATAAAAGTACTGGAATTTTTTAGAGTTCTTAATTTGAAGTACAATTAAAGTACTAGTGTTTGAAATACATTATAATGGGTCTTTCTCATAAACATAAAACATGACAATTTTTTCATTCATAATTTTGCTTGTAATACTTTTGTTGTATTTAAAGTATTTATACACTTATAGTACTTAGAGTACTTCTAATGTATTTCAAGTATTCCCAAGTCATTGTACTTGATGAAATCAAGTACAATGAAAAGTACTTTGTTAAAAATAGTTTGAGTACCAAGTAAAAGTACCGTTTATCCACTGTACTTCTAGTAAAATATTTCAAGTAGGTACTTACAAGAACTTGAAGTAAAATTTCAAGTATTCTGTAAGTATCTGACAGCTCTGTGTCTGACTAGTCAAAAGCCTGGAATGATAAGAAAGAGATAATGATATAAGACATTTAATGAAAAAGAGAGAGATGGAGATATAATAAAATGATAATCTGTTGATATTTTCACTATTCTCGGTGCTTGGCTTGAGTGACCTTGTAATTTTTGTGTCTAACCAATCGAGAGCTTGGAATAATAAATAAGAGACAACGATATAGAAAAATCATGGTATTGAAATACGAGAGTGAGAGATGATATAGGAAACACAACGAGTAAGAAAGTGACGGATATAAAGTAGGAAATTTTTCTAGAATGATGTATTACAAGCTCAAGTCCTTGAAAATACAGTTGGAACCGCTATAGTTTGCAAAATTTGGCACCATTGCTTGATAATTATAATAATAAAACCAAATAATGATGTGTCTCCTTAAATGTTAAAGATAGAAAAGTCTAAAGTTGACAGTTTACCTATGAATTATTGATAAAAAACAAAATTGGCTATTTTTAGTTTTTCTTTTGAATTCCTAGGAAACCGACAACTTTGAAGCAAACTTGGCAACAACAGGATATAAATAAGCATTAAATTTCCTGAAATTTTCTTAGTTTGAGCCACCTTGTATCTTTCCTAATAAGCAGGATTCCAATATAAAGATTCGAATTTCCTATATACACACTGTAGAGGCTCAATATGTGAACTTATTATCAAACTTACAGGATGTTTTTTGAAAATACAACGATATTTGCAACGCTTCATTGAACACCCTGTTTAGGTAATAAAATTAGAATTTTGTTTCTAACCTGAGAGACTGAATACCTACAGTCTCTTGAAGACAATGAAATACTCCCATCAATTACCAAAGTTTTGTTTTTATACAGGGTGTCCTTAAAATGTTTTAGGCTCTTAAAATTGAAGATTTTTCTTGTGTTAAATTTTGAAATTTTTGAACTTTTTTGACACCCTATACAGATAACATTCAATAATTTTCATAGCTGCTTAGTCTGTGACCAAAATTACTGGCAGTGGCTCATTCCTCACATATAGAGCGACACGGGTCGTGTGACGTCAGACGAAATGATTCCAGTGGCGTGCATATTAATAGGTATCTATACCCTAACCGCTTTTATTTAATTTTCCATCATACGAGTCCCTATACCCATAATTTTGATCACAGCCTATAGACAATTATTGAGTTTGTGCTACCTAATACCACTGCAGTGGGTTTGAACATCAGGCAAAGAAATGCGAAAAGACGAGAGTAAATAATTTGAAAATTACGTCGTAGGTCATGGATGTCCAATACCAATAGAATAACATAATAGGGGCATACTAGAACAATAAGATAAGAGATAAGAGCAAAAAGGGTCGGAAACTGGAAACAACGGTTGCGGGATAAAGTAGGGATTGTATAGGGAGGAACATCTAAAAAGAAGGGTCAAATAAAGTGTAAAGACATGAAAATAAAGAGAGATAGGCATAAGTAGGACAACATATAGGGAGTCATTATTGGACATTCTGATTAACAGTATTTTAAGGGGTAAGAAGATGTCTAATGGTGACATCATATCTGTCCAATGACTTCAAGCAATAAAAATGGCGAGCGATCTGCCTAGCTATAGAAGTTCTTGCAAGAGAATTGGGTGACAAATTAGAATTAGGGACATCTCTTTTGAAATTGACAGACAGATCCAACAACCTTCCAGTTGGTTTAATGGATGGTTCTAAAAAGGGCGGAGTCTCGTTTTTCGATTTAGGGGGCGAGAATCGTCGAACCCGAAATTCTCGAAATCGCTTCGAAAACAAAATGCGCCGCTACTCGTCCGATTTTACGATATACCCATAACCCAATCGTTTCCCTCATAGGCTAGACCAAAAAAATTCGAAGCCGTCCTACTATTCCGAACTGAGCGTGCGCCATCAAATATTCAAAAACGACATCGCGCAGCCATTAGACAATGTCGAAACCAACAAGGACGGACGATAATCCGACATCGACCCGGACAAACTTGTTTTCCCATTCGTTCGTACGAGCCCCTTTGTTCGAAATTAATATGGACGATTCCCTCTTGGCCCCCTTCATAGTTTTTGAGAGGGGCCTACTACGCTAGGATTGGACGGTAGAGCGGCAACGGCAACATTCGAAGCGGTAGAAGTAGAGGAGTGTGGGATAGTCGAAACGTAAACGTGCTCAAGTGTAGATTAAAATCCGGCTCGAAGGACCAAAAAATTTTGTGTGCGTGTGTTTGTGCCTATATATTTTATTATATTTTTGCTTCTTAATGACGTTATATTCGGTTATTTTTAGTCGGATTTTGTTGTGATATGGAACGTAGTAGGGGTTTCGGGTTTTTTACGAAAAGGTTTGTTTGAGTTTATTATTTTTGTTTTAATTTAATTTTTGTTGATCGAGTGCAACAACTTGGGAGAAGCGAAAACGCACAAAGAAAAGGGTACGTCTCTAAACAAACTAAATTTTTTTTGGTGTTGTGTCTTTGTATTAAAAATGGCGGCATTTGAGGAGGTCTCGATTCTCCATGTTTGAAGTACCAGCGCCACCTATATTAAAAACCATTTTTCCCTTTCCAATTGAATTATGCATCTCGAATAAAAAGCCTACTTGTGTAGTTGGGATGGGGAAAGTGGCAACTGCGCAATAAAATCGAATTTTCCATACGCCAATGAGGGGTTTTATTTAAGTTTTTTTTTTAAATGCGACTGTAGGTATTTCATTGGCCGGTGGCCTACTATGTTGGATTTATAAAGTTTTGTGAGTATTTTTTAAATATTTGGTTGGATTTACCTTAAAGGTTTTATTTATTTATAACTCCTTGGGTTTTGGGAATATAACACTAATTTAGCACTAAACTGCAACATCTTTTCTTAATAAATACACCAATTAATTTTACACTTAAAAACGTTATTTTCCGATAAAAAGCGGCCGATCCACGGTTTTGCTTTGCTATAGATAATGACACTTGTAGCACTGTTGCCAACTATTTTAATCTAAACATCGAAAATTGAAGTTTTTTTTAAAAACCCTAACGAATTTTAAATTATTAAGCAAATATTGTAAAGAAAAATTAAATGCATGAATAATTACATGAAATCGCAAATATATTGACCTACAAATTAATGATACAAATAAAACAGTTTGGCAACATTGTCAGGGTTCTTGCGCGTTTTGGCGTCCTCGTTGTTGAGAATCGATGCAATGTTGCCGCCCTGTGAAGGTTTTCTTAAATGGTTATTTATTTCTTTTATGTAAAGAAAAATAAATTTCGAAATTTTGTGCAGCATTCTTTGACATTCGAAATTATTTAGGTATTAGCTATTCCTGTATTTCGATCAACCGACATTACCTCACAAAATCGTTCATAACTTAATTAATATTTCAGAAATCTTAAGGCATATTTATATATTCTTAATAAGAATTGAATGCTCTTTAAGATAAAACCAAGTCGAATCATTTATCTCAAATAGTTTTCGAGATATCGAGCCTCAAAGTTTGAACTTTGTCCCAAATTTTGGAAAAACTTAAAGCCGAAAATCTTGAAAACGAAGCCCTAGGGCTCAATTCTTCAAATTACCTTTTTTGAAGCCCTAAGAATTTCCTACTGATTAAACCAAACATCTTAAACCAACTTTGGTCAACTCTTGGTGAATCAATTCAATTATAATTATTCCATTATAAAAAAAAAAAAAAAAATCTTGTGTCCTTTAAAATATTCACCCTGTATAAGAAAAATCCACTATTTTCGTCTCAATACTAGCGGCAACATCGCATAAGTCTTGCGTAGTAAACTCGATCGCCTATCGGTAATTTTTACGATGCTGCGTTGCCACATTGTAAAAAATTTACAAACCTTTAATATAGGTAAGTTTCTCCTCTATGGTTATATTCATTTTCAAGTTGGCTTTAGCATTTTTGGCAATACTGTTTCTGAAAGTGAAACCGTTTCGTTTGTTGGGTTGGGGATTTTTCCCCCGCTATTTTTTTTTTTTTGATAAAATTAATATTCTGGTGGGGAAGCCACATTGTAAAGTCCCCCCCTTTTCTTCACTACTTGGTTAATTAGTTTTGCTGTCATCGTGACTTATTTTTTTTGGTTTGTAGGTCAGATGTAATTGAATGCCGCGGATGGAGAGTAGGTCAGATTTGTTGCGCCTTGTCAAGGTTGAGGTTTTTATCTTTGTTTTGTTTGCAATAGGTGGATATAGAAATATTATAAGCGATTTCGCAGGGACATGGTTGAAAGATTTAGTAGGAGAGGAGGTTTTCTTATTTCTATAATTGGTAGTTTATGTTTGGGTTTCATGAAGTTTTCTCAGAAACTTTTCTTTGGAGGATCAAAAGTTCTAAGAAGCTCATAAAAGCATCTCATAAAATTGCTGTCCAAGTTTTGAATCTTTATATACCTAAACAATTTTGAAAAGAGGTATTCAAGATATGTATTTGGAAAAGGGACTTTAGTTATGAATTTCTGGAAGTTTCAAGTTGCTCAGAATCCTGGAAGTATTTTCCAAAGTTGATTTGCTACGAATTTTACGAGGATTTTTTAAAACATTCTGAGTTAATTTCTTAAGAATTTAACAAGGATTTTTTAAAAAATTCCTAATTTTATTTCTGAGGCTCAGATTGGCTTCAAAATAATTGTTGTATGTATTTGCAAACATTACTGAAATGAATAGAAATAATCAAGGGATAAACCACCATCTCAGAATTTGTGCAAACAATTTCTCAAAGGAGAATTTTTTACGCCTAATTCCTCCAAATTTCCCACAAATTCCTCCAAATACCCCACCACAAATTTCTCCAAATACCCCACAATTTCCTCTAAATTCCCTGCAAATTCCTCCAAATTCCCGCAAATTCCTCCAAACTCCTCTTAAATTTCACACAAATGTCTCTTATAATAGGGATGTTCCCAAAATAAAAAAATCCTGGAAGGTGAGAAGCTCATTTTCCCAAAATTTCAAATTTTTCCAGTGGAAAACAGCAACATGAAAAATCTTGGAAATCAACCTACAAAAACTGAATTAGTTGAAAATACAGTCTCACACATTTCAATGTTTTCCTGGAAAACTAGTGAAGGGAAAATTTTGAAACTTTTTGCATGTAAAGGGGAAGGTCAGAAGCTGATTTTTCCAAAATTTCAAATTTTTCCAGTGGAAAATAGCAACATGAGGAATCTTGGAAATCAACCTAAAATAACTAAATAAATTGAAAATACAGTCTCACACATTCCAAAATTTTCCTGGAAAACTAGTGAAAGGAAAAATTTGAAACTTTTTGTATGTAGAAAGGAAGGTTTTAAAGGCTCATTTTCCTGTAAGTAATTACAATTTTTTCCCAACATGAATAATCTTGGAAATCAACCTACAAAAACTGAACTAATTGAAAATACAATTTCACACATTTCAAAGTTTTCCTGGAATACTAGTGAAGAAAAAAATTTTGAAACTTTTTGCATGTAAAGAGGAAGGTGAGAGGCTCATTTTCCCAAAATTTCAAATTTTTCCAGTGGAAAATAACAACATGAAAAATCTTGGAAATCAACCTACAATAGCTGAATTAATTAAAAATACTGTCTCACACAATTCAAAGTTTTCCTAGAAAACTAGTGAGGGAAAATTTTGAAACTTTTTGCATTTAAAGAAGAAGGGGAGAAGCTCATTTTCCCAAAATTTCAAATTTTTCCAGCTGAAAATAGCAACATGAAGAATCTTGGAAATCAACCTACAATAACTGAATAAATTGAAAATGCAGTCTCACACATTCCAAAGTTTTCCTGGAAAACTAGTGAAAGGAAAAATTTGAAACTTTTTGTATGTAGAAAGGAAGGTTTTAAAGGCTCATTTTCCTGTAAGTAATTACAATTTTTTCCCAACATGAATAATCTTGGAAATCAACTTACAAAAACTAAACTAATTGAAAATACAATTTCACACATTTCAAAGTTTTCCTGGAATACTAGTGAAGAAGAAAAATTTGAAACTTTTTGCATGTAAAGAGGAAGGTGAGAGGCTCATTTTCCCAAAATTTCAAATTTTTCCAGTGGAAAATAACAACATGAAAAATCTTGGAAATCAACCTACAATAACTGAATTAATTAAAAATATTGTCTCACACAATTCAAAGTTGTCCTGGAAAACTAGTGGAGGAAAATTTTGAAAATTTTCGCATGTAAAGAAGAAGGGGAGAAGCTCATTTTCCCAAAATTTCAAATTTTTCCAGCTGAAAATAGCAACATGAAGAATCTTGGAAATCAACCTACAATAACTGAATAAATTGAAAATGCAGTCTCACACATTCCAAAGTTTTCCTGGAAAACTAGTGAAAGGAAAAATTTGAAATTTTTTGTATGTAGAAAGGAAGGTTTTAAAGGCTCATTTTCCTGTAAGTAATTACAATTTTTTCCCAACATGAATAATCTTGGAAATCAACTTACAAAAACTGAACTAATTGAAAATACAATTTCACACATTTCAAAGTTTTCCTGGAATACTAGTGAAGAAAAAAATTTTGAAACTTTTTGCATGTAAAGAGGAAGGTGAGAGGCTCATTTTCCCAAAATTTCAAATTTTTCCAGTGGAAAATAACAACATGAAAAATCTTGGAAATCAACCTACAATAGCTGAATTAATTAAAAATACTGTCTCACACAATTCAAAGTTTTCCTAGAAAACTAGTGAGGGAAAATTTTGAAACTTTTTGCATTTAAAGAAGAAGGGGAGAAGCTCATTTTCCCAAAATTTCAAATTTTTCCAGCTGAAAATAGCAACATGAAGAATCTTGGAAATCAACCTACAATAACTGAATAAATTGAAAATGCAGTCTCACACATTCCAAAGTTTTCCTGGAAAACTAGTGAAAGGAAAAATTTGAAATTTTTTGTATGTAGAAAGGAAGGTTTTAAAGGCTCATTTTCCTGTAAGTAATTACAATTTTTTCCCAACATGAATAATCTTGGAAATCAACTTACAAAAACTGAACTAATTGAAAATACAATTTCACACATTTCAAAGTTTTCCTGGAATACTAATGAAGAAGAAAAATTTGAAACTTTTTGCATGTAAAGAGGAAGGTGAGAGGCTCATTTTCCCAAAATTTCAAATTTTTCCAGTGGAAAATAACAACATGAAAAATCTTGGAAATCAACCTACAATAGCTGAATTAATTAAAAATACTGTCTCACACAATTCAAAGTTTTCCTAGAAAACTAGTGAGGGAAAATTTTGAAACTTTTTGCATTTAAAGAAGAAGGGGAGAAGCTCATTTTCCCAAAATTTCAAATTTTTCCAGCTGAAAATAGCAACATGAAGAATCTTGGAAATCAACCTACAATAACTGAATAAATTG